TTCAGGAGCAGGGGAGACGTTCTCCGATGAGATGCTTACCCCCCCCCCCCCGCCCGGCGTTCCTTGTCAGCAAGCAGGCGAGGGGTGATTGGGTGACGGGACAGAAGTGCCTTCATGGGAAGAAAGGCGACGTGGGAGAGGGTAGTGGGTACGAAAGGAGTCTGAGCATGAGCAGAACAAGAACCGGTGGAAGCTCAAACCAGAGCAGTGCAGGTTAGAAAGGGGGGGCAGCTCCCCAGCCGGGGGGTCAGTCACCCTTTCAGCTCTCCTGGTGCGTGGGGGGGGGTCGGACTCTCAGTCTGGCGATGGGTCCAGTCCAGGCTGGAGGCCTTTCCAGACGAACGCGCCGCGGGGAAACTGAGCGAGAGTCCCTGGCCGGCGGAGCTCAGACTTGAGGATCGAATGGGCTCTGCTGGCCTGACCGTCTGTGGAGCCCTGAGTTGGGGGAGCTGGGATCTGCCCCCCCACCCCACTAACCGTGCTCCTCTCTGTCCCCACCCCCCAGTCAAACAGGTCTTCAAGGACATGGAGTTCCTGGGCTGGTACACGACCGGTGGCCCCCCGGACCAGTCTGACATCCACGTCCATAAACAGGTCAGGCCCCACTCCCCTCCCAGAGCCGGGGAGAGAACCCAGGAGTCCTGGCTCCCAGCTGCCCCCACCCTCCACTAGGCAATAGCGGGAGCTGCCATTTCAAAGTCCCAGAGTCACTCTGACCTCACGTGGCAGGGGAGGGACACTCCTACCTTGGGGGTCTTTGGTGGAGCCCCTGGGTGCTGGCAGCCTGTGCTCAGTGGGTCGGAGGACCGGGGGGAGCTGAGGGGACTGACGTTGGTGCGCACCATGCTGACGGTCGCCTTTCCCCAAGCCCAGGTGTGTGAGATCATCGAGAGCCCCCTCTTCCTGAAGCTGAACCCCATGACCAAGCACACAGATGTGAGTACCCCCCCCCCCAACAGCCTGAAACCAGCCCCCCGCCGGCCCCAAGGAGCGAAGTCTGGCTCGAGGACGTCCATCCTCCCTGCCCCCTGCAGCTTTGGCTGTGTATGGAATTTCCCTTCACTTCCACCGCTCAGTAGCCGTCGTGCCCCCCCAGAGGGGCTGCATCTCAGTGCCAGGTGAGGGCGTCCCTGTATGAACAGCCCCCGTGCTCCACCCCAGAGCCAGCTGCATCTCATCGCTGGGCGTGCATTCCACCATGCCCCACCCTAGCGGCAGCTGCGTCTCAGCGCCAGGCGAGGGGTCCCCGTATAACCAGTCTGGTGCCCCACCCCAGAGGGGGCGCGTCTTAGCATGTCCTACCCCTCTCGCTGTGGGGTGAGGGCGTCTGTGGGCAGCGTTATCAGGTTGTTTCTCGCTCTTGTCCCCAGCTGCCGGTCAGTGTCTTTGAGTCGGTGATCGACATCATCAATGGAGAGGTAAGTACCCTATACCCCGCCCCCCCGCCCCATGCTATGCATGTTCCCAATCCCCCCTGATGCCCCCTCGCCCCCAGGCCACCATGCTGTTCGCGGAGCTGACCTACACGCTGGCCACGGAGGAGGCAGAGCGCATTGGGGTCGACCACGTGGCCCGAATGACGGCGACCGGCAGCGGGGAGAACTCCACGGGTGAGCTTGGGGGGGGAACCCCCCAGGGGGGCGTGTGCGGGGGACTCCAGGAGTGAGCATGGGGGGGTGGAATGGTGGGACCCCCCAGGGGGGCGTGTGCAGGGGACGCTGGGAGCGGGGGACTCCAGGGGTGAGTGTGTGTGTGGGGGAGACGACCCCCAGGGGGGCGTGTGCGGGGGACGCAGGATTCCAGGTGTGAGCATGGGGGGGGAGACGACCCCCAGGGGGGCGTGTGCGGGGGACGCTGGGAGCGGGGGATTCCAGGGGGGCGTGTGCGGGGGGGGGAACACCCCGGGGTGTGTGTGCAGGGGACGCTAGGAGTGGGGGACTCCAGGGGTGAGCATGGGAGGGGAATGGGGGGACTCCAGGGGTGAGCATGGGAGGGGAATGGGGGGGACCCCCCAGGGGTGCGTGTGCGGGGGAC